GGGGGAGGGGAGGGAAGAGAAGGAAAGGAAAGGAGAAGGAAAGGAATTGCTAATCATGGTTGTCTCTAGGGAATGCAACTATTTTTACTGTATAGAAGTAGTTATTACTATAGTCATAATTCATATACAATTTTTTTAAAGAAAAAAGATAAATTTTGAAAAGTAATGGCTGGTCCAAGTGAAGTGCAGTGATGTTTAAAACTCATTGATCACAATCAGTTACAGTTTTCTTTGTTTTTTCTCCATTCACACTGTATTACATGACTAGCCTTCAAAAAATTTTCTTTTAATTTTTAAACATTTCCAAAAGTAGAACTGTCAAGGAGAATGCAAGCTTTTCACAGTTATAAGTTGAGACTACTCCTTATCCTCTACTGTAAAAGGACTATTTTTCAGTTGGCGTATGGTAATTTCATATATATAACTGAATATAGAAAAACAACAAATGTGTGCTACTAAATCAATGTCACACTTTTTATTTTAATACATAACTTTTTTTGAGGATGCACCCAGGAAAAAATACAAGTCACAGGACACCTGCAATCTGTGCTTTCCTCAATGCCACTCATATAATCTAAACCAAATTAAGTATTTTAACAGAAAATTAATTTGTCAGAAATAAAATATACCTAACTCCTCTTACCTGCCATAGATCCAGCCATTAATCTGTGCACATGACCCGAAATTCCCAGCTTCGTAGTAATTAACTAGAAAACAAGAACATTGAATTAAATGAGATATTTTTTAAATGCTGCCCATTTTACTGTTTAATAATGAAGATTTATTTCAAGAGTTACAGGACTAATAAAAAGAAAATTAATAATAAATGTGAACGAAATGAGCACAATTAAATACAGCTTGGCAGTATTATATCACAGCAAAGGGGATGTTTCCTCTGCAGTCTCTGCTTTAATTTTTTGCCTTTCTGCAGATGCAAACTAGCTTAGAATTGCTAAATATATGATACTGTGTATTAAGGAACACAAGCCCTTAACAAGTGACTGAGGGTAGTAGGAATAAATTGTTACTTTTTTTTTTTTTTTTTTTTTTGAGACGGAGTCTTGCTCTGTGTCCCAGGCTGGATTGCAGTGGTGCAATCTCAGCTCACTGCAACCTTCGTCTCCTAGGTTCAAGAGATTCTCCTGCCTCAGCCTCTCAAGCAGCTGGGACTACAGCCACATGCCACTACGCCTGGCTAATTTTTTATTTATTAGTAGAGACGGAGTTTCACCATATTGGTCAGGCTGGTCTTGAACTCCTGACCTCAGGTGATCCACCCACCTCGGTCTCCCAAAGTGCTGGGATTATAGGCGTAAGCCACCGCACCTGGCCTAATTTTTTATTTTTATTTTTTTTAATGCTCTATAGACAATGAAGTCCTGATATACAAATGGTATCAATTCTCTCTGGCTGACTAGCTTAGAAGCTTAGAATGTTGCTCCGATCTCTGCTGCTTGTT